AAAAAAAAAAAAAAAAAAAGAGAAGAGTGAAACAGTTCACAAAGGAGATGCAGGCCCGCTGGGTGCCAGTGGCCTCCCTCAGTCAGAGGGCGGCTCATGGGGCCAGAGGCAGAGGAAGTGTGCGTGCCGTGGGCTCCCTCTTTTTAGAAGAGAATCATTTCATGAGTCTTTCACTAGACACGCACGTAGTGCGACCCTGGTACAAATGCCTGTCTGGGGTTGCTTCGAGGGGTGGGGCTGCTTTCCCGCTGTCTGCCAGCCTCTGCTTCCACTGTGCTGCTTCCTGGCTGTGGGCGTCAAGTCACAGGGGCCCCGTGGGTCACACAGTGGCCCCCAGGAGCCGGATGATCCAGAACAACAGGGACAGGGCCAGCTCTGGCAGTCTCGGCTCACCTGGACGTAGAGGACGGCGCCACTGCGCCCGAAGCAGTTTTTACTGCCGCCGTCTTCTCCACTGAAACCCTGGTACCGCGACAGGACCGACGACAGGGACTTGACTTGCTGGTCAACTAAAGCGAGAACAAGAATCTCAGTCCCTTTGTGTTATGGCAACCACGGCCTATTGCTGACGTCTCTGGGTCCAGTTTAAGAACCTTAAAAATACGTATGGAAGCGAGGAGTGAGGCTGCAGCAGAAGTTACAGAACCAGCAGTGTCATTTTTTTAAAGTGAAATTCTTATTTTTCTTCAAAATGTGCTATCATTTCTGAAAATGTTTAAATTTATCATTTTTTAAAGTAGTTATATTCTATGACTTTGTTGTGAATGCTTCATTCCCAGCTCGCTCTGCGTCTGTGCTGAGTGAGTGTGAATAAAACCAGCAGCTGGCAGCACCCACTGAGACCACCGCACAGGCCTCGTGCTTTCACGCGACCGGCACGTCAGGTTCCCTGACAGGAAACTCTGGGCTCCTGAAATTAAAAAACAAAACAAAACATGTTCAAAGTTGCTTTTTCTTTTTTTTTTTTTTAGACAGAATCTTGCTCTGTCGGCCAGGCTGGAGTGCAGTGGCATGATCCTGGCTCACTGCAACATCCGTCTCCCAGGCTCAAGCAATTCTCCTGCCTCAGCCTCCCAAGTAGCTGGGATTACGGGTGCCCGCCACCACACCCAGCTAATTTGTTTTTTGTATTTTAGTAGAGACGGGGTTTCACCATGTTGGCCAGGTTGGTCTCGAACTCCTGACCTCAGGCGATACCCTCACCTTGGCCTCCCAAAGTGCTGGGATTACAGCTGTGAGCCACTGTGTCTGGCTGAATATCCATATAATTTATAAAAATGATATCCATACATCAGGGGTTTTTTTTGTTTATTTTTTTGAGACAGGGTCTTCCTCTGTTGGCCAGGCTGGAGTGCAGTGGCATAATCGGAGCTCACTGCAGCCTTGACCTCCTAGGCTCAAGCCATCCTCCTGCTTCAGCCCCGAGTAGCTGGGACTATCAGTGTGTGCCACCACATCTGGTTATTATTACTTTTTAAGAGACAGGGTCTCACTATGTTGCCCAGCCTGGTCTCAAACGCCTAGGCTCAAGTGATCCCCCACCTTGGCCTCTCAAAGTGCTGGGATAACAGGGTTGAGCCACTGCGCCTAGCTGGGTTTAAAAATTTTTACTTTTTTTTTCAGACAGGGTATTGCTCTGTCACCCAGGCTGGAGTGCAGTGGTGTGATCACGACTCACTGCAGCCTTGAACTTCTGAGTTCCGGCAATCCTCCTGAGTAGCTGGGACCACAGGTGGACGCTATCACCTCTGGCTAATTTTTTCAAAAATTTTTTGTAGATCCACAAACCTTAAGACCAAAAAAAAAAAAAAAGACACGGTCTTGCTATATTGTCCAGGCTGGCCTTGAACTTACAGGCTCAAGTGATCCTCCCGCCTCAGCCTCTCCCCAGCCCTGCCTGCACTGCCCCAGGGCACCTGCCTCTCAGAATGACGTGTCCGCCGTTGCCTCCGTCCCCTCCATCGGGGCCTCCAAACTCCTTGCGGGGCTCACTGTGGAAGCAGCTTGCCCCGGCGCCTCCGTTTCCTCCACAGACAAGCACTCTCCGACAGTCCACAAAATACCTTTTCTACAGAGAGCACAAGTATCCCACGTCATCTCAACACTCCGAGGTCCTTTCACGAGACCATACATCCATTTGAGATGTGCCTCTTCCATTTACGACAGCCTATTACAATTACAGGTTAATGACACTAACACTGCTAATCGCTTCTAAAATCCAAAGGAAAAAACAGTTTCCACAAGTCAGTAGCATTTGTAGACCAAGGTAAACCCACAGTGCAGATGTGAGTGTTCTGTGTGAACCTACACTTCAAAAATGCAGCATTTCTTATTCTGGGTGAGACTGATTTAAAACCACCACCAACAAAAATCAGCATTTTTAACCTAAAAAACCCACATCTTGTTTAGGAAATAGTCCTTAAATAATGTGTCTTTCCATTTAAAAAAAAAAAAAAAACACCCATTCCTGAAATCATAGATCTTTACTCTTAGAAAGGTCCAGTTTCCCAGGATGCGACAGGGAAACAGGGAGTTAGAGTCGTTCCTGGACAATTACCAGGCTTTCGACTCTGAAGAAAGAGTATTTTCTGGGGCCTGACGAAAACAGGGCTCATTTAAAAAATGTCGTGATGCAAACTGAGCCCCTCGCTGGAGGGAAAGTTTTTTTTTTTTTGGCAGAGTCTCGCTCTGTCGCCCAGGCTGGAGTGCAGTGGTGCGATCTCTCACTGCAAGCTCCGCCTCCTGGGTTCACGCCATTCTCCCAACTCAGCCTCCCGAGTCGCTGGGACTACAGGTGCCCGCCACCACACCCGGCTAATTTTTTGTATTTTCAGTAGAGACGGAGTTTCACCGTGTTAGCCAGGATGGTCTCGATCTCCTGACCTCGTGATCTGCCCGCCTCGGCCTCCCAAAGTGCTGGGATGACAGGCATGAGCCACCACGCCCGGCCGGGAAAGTTGTTCTTTAGGTCACTAAGGCAGGTACAATCTGGATAAAGAGAGAACCAACCAGGATACTGTTCAACACACAACAGCTCCCGCGGCCCAGGGTGCTGCAACCTCACCACACCCTGGGGAGGACGCCTGGCTTCTGCCCATGTGCACCGACAGATGCGCCCTAGCCCTGTCCCAGGGCTGCTGCCTCTGCACTCCCATCTAATACTCCTCAAATGCAGCTTTTTTGTTTTTTTCTTTTAAAAGAAAATACACAAACATTTTAAGATTCTTTGGCACCACCATGTGGAAAAACCATGAACTGCTATTTCCAAATCTCAATATGTAATGCTGTCATGTGCCAATGCAAGCAAAATCTACCAGACAGGGAAGAAAGCCCCACTGGTGAGCACTACACGGAGGACAAAACCTCGGCTCACTTTCTCTGCTGGGGATGAGACAAGCCTGTGCAGACACTTCAGCTATTTGAGCACACATCCCACCAAAGCAGCTTGTCCACTGGAAGTGCGGTTTGTCCCAGGAATGCTTATCTGAAGCCCCTCCATTCAGGAGGAAATGAAGGGAGTCATAAATGTGCATTTTCTTGAATTTATTAGAGACAATTCATGTTTTAAATAGGAGGTTTTGGTAAACAGAACAAGAAAAACTTGTAAGGCTTAAAGAACCATAAAATGGAGGGTCTATTGCCCCGACTTGTTTTATTTTTATTTATTTTTTAATTTTTGTAATTTTTTTTTTTTTAAGTAGAGACAGGGTTTCACCATGTTGGCCAGGCTGGTCTCGAATTCCTGACCTCAAGTGATCCGCCTGCCTCAGCCTCCCAAAGTGTTGGGATAACAGGCATGAGCCACCACGCCCAGCCCCCACATTTGTTTTAAGAAATAGCCACACATGTTAAAGGATATATGTAACATACATGTAAGATACACAGGCTCATGGTAAAATGAGCAGCCTGTATCACAGCTTTCCAAGCACCCAGCGCCTCTCCCAGCCTGCTGGGATCTGCTGAGTGTGGGATTTCGCACACAGGCCTGCGTTTCACCCCATCATTTTCAGGAAGCTCCACATGCCCCATCACCAAGATCACAGAGATGAGATCAAGAAGAGGACCCAAAACCACACCCTGTGCCTTCTGAGGAGGAGACAGGCAAGCTGCTCTGACTCCAGAAGTCTCACCAGCTTTTTCTCAGAGAGCGGCTTCTTCCCCGGGAGTTCCTGACGCTTGGCGTGGTCCGCACGGCCGACCGAGAGCAGCCTGGGAGAAGCCTGCTGTGGCAGTCGCCGGCTGGGCTTGAGGCCAGCCCGTGTGGACAAAGCCCAATGCCCCACGTCCTCAAACACGGTCCTCAATCTTGCTGAGAAAAGCCTTGCAGGTGACATGGCCCCTACAGAAGTCAGATTGGCAAAATGAGATGCTTGGTTTAACCCTGGGCATGAAACAGAAACGGAAGAGGAGGGTCTCATGCAGCAGGTCTCCATGCACGTTTCTCAAACAAACAAGTGAACTGATGAATCTGACTCTCCTGGTCACTCACCCTCTCGGCCCTGGGTCACGTCTTGTCCTCTGACCCGTCAGCCTATCTGTGACTTGGGAGCAGGATTTCTGTACAAAGGATTTAAAACATTAAATCTTCCACAACACTGGACATATCCTCTTACGGAACAGCAAGTATCCGCTCAACGAAAATATTAAAAAGGAAATCTGAAGTGCAAGTCAAAATTTCTTGAAAAACACCCATTTATTCAAATGTTATCAACAGTGTTATCTTGTGTAATTTCCAAGTTGTTATATTGGAACACAAGAATATTAACCATGGAGCACAGCGGCTAAGCACCAGGCTCTGGAAAGCAACTCCAAGGGAAGGCCACGCACCTGTGTGGCCTCAGCCTCCTCACTTGTAAGGACAGGGCTGGGTGAGGACGGGCTGAGCTGATCCACATGGCTGCACAACAGCAGCCCTGGCTGTGGCACTGACAGAATGAGAAGTGTACACTTGGCCTCTGCTCCTGGCTCCTGACACACAGCTCTCAGAACACTGGTAATTTCCTGAGTGACAGGGGTGATGGGGTGCCTGATGCAGAGCTCCTAAATCCCTTGGACTTCCCGGGTGACAGGAGAGTCTTCTGTTCTAATGAGGCACCTCTTGGTGGGCTCCTGGATGGCCTTGGGAGGGGGCTGGTCATCATAAAGACCAAGCCATGATGAGAAGCCTGGGCCTTTCAGCCCCACCCCCACCCTCCAAACAGGGGAGAGGGGCTGGAGGCTGAGTTCATAACTGATCATGTCTCCATGACGAGGCTTCCATGGAAATCCTTGAACTAGGGGCTTGGGAAAGCTTTCAGTTTGGTGAACTCATCCCTGTGCTGTGAGGGCAGCCACAGAACTCCCTGGGTACAAAGGCTCCTGTGCTCAGGACCCTCTGGGCCTCGCCCGTGCCCCTCCTCACCCAGCTGCCCACCTGTGCCCGCTGTGGCATCCTTTATAGTAAACTGGCAATGCAAACTAAGTGCCTTCCTGAGTTCTGTGAGCCACTCCCGTAAATCATCAAACCTGAAGGGGTCATAGGAACCCCCAATGTGTAGCAAGATGGACAGAAGTGTGGGTACCCCAGGGACCCACTACTTGCGGTCAGCATCTGAAGTGGGGGGCGGGTTGGTGTGACTGAGCCCCTAACCCCGGGGTCCGTGATCACCACGGCAGGGTCAGAGTGAACTGAATTACAGGATGCCTGGCTGGTGTCTGCAGAGGACGGGCGAATTGTTGGTGTGGAAAACCCACACACTTGGTGCCTGATGTGCGGTGTGGGTGGAAACACCCCTGGGGCGGCAGGGTCGGCACAGCTGCAGACTCTAAGTGCCAGCTACTGTCACTCTCAAAGCCTCATTTAAGCCGTCACTCACTCATTCCACCGCTCATGACAGCCAGCTGCCTTGCCGGTGCCAAGGGCACAGTGAGGAAGTCGCTGACCCTGCCCCTCCCTTCACCATGAGCACAAATGCCCTCCTGCTTCCAGAGCTCCCCATTCTTCAGCAGGTCCCACAGGAGGGACCTTACAAGGCGCTCCCCGTCCTGACTACGAGAGGTGTGTACAGAAGGGGCCCCAGTGGATGGATGAAAACTCAACAGGAGGCCAGCATGGGAGCGCAACGAGGGGACACCGCCCGCCTCCTCCCTCGCAGTGCCTCGGACGCCTCCCTCTCCCCGGCCTCACTCCTCCAAAAGGTGCCACCTCCTTTGGGGGGTCACTACCTCTGCGGGGTCCTTGGCCATTCTGCTTTAATTCTGAGGCAATCACAGAAAAGCTGGAAGAAGAGTACACAGAACTTCCTCCGGAATCACTTGAGTCAGTCGCCGACTGGACTTCCCGACACCCAGAACCTTCCATGTGTGTTTCCCACAGACAATGGTGTCCCCTCCAGAATCAGGGTGCCATCGAGACTGGCCATGACCAACAGCCCCTCCCCATACCCTCCCACGTGGGCCCCAGTCCCAGCAGCACCTCTCCCCTCAGGAGAGTCTGCGTCCCAACCCTGGCTTCCTCAGCCTCTCCTGACTCCGGGCCGGCCCTGACACAGGAGGCGGCAGGCCAGCTGT